AATCAGCGACCCGGCTGTTCTGTTCAGCCATCTTTTTTTCATCTCCATGGCCATCATCATCTGTCAATTGGTTAATGGAGGTTATCATGGTTATTGAACAATGCTACAAGGCTAAGTTTTACACTACTCCACTCTAACTATCCATGCGCTAGTTCACAAATTTTCAAGTAACTCTATGAAATAGAAAAGGTTGCCCTCTCTCTATCGTTGCCAGTCCAACTTACCTGATTCTGCCATTTTGTTAATTAAAACTAATAAAGCATGTGCTCAAAAATGTGGTTGTGGTCAAACATGCTCAGATCTTAGAACTGAGAAAAGGGAGCAATTTTTTTTCTAGCTCTGCTTGGATCAACTGCATTACATAATGGAGGTTCCAGGCTTCCAGTTCCAGCTAAGAAAGGTACTTAGTCTTGGATATCATTGTTTTCTTATGTGTGTTCAATAAATGTTATTTAAAAAACACAAACAATAATATTAATTTTATACAATGATTATGAACTTGCAACAGAAACAACTGTCAATAGGACAGGATTGGAAGGAAGAGATGGGTACTGTCACTTGTTCTTCAACATGGATTTTTGTCAAGATTATTATTATACCGTACTTCACTAAACACTGTTCGATATAGTATAGAATTCCTTTAGCATGTAACTAGATTCACCACAATAGCAATCGACACCATCCAAACAAAATATGACAAAGATTATAAAAATCAACAGAAACAAGAACATTAAAAATTTTAAAAAGAAGGATGAAGTAAGATTCTAGAGTAAATTTGTAAAAAGCAACAGAAACAAGGGCAAGTTGGATTCCGAACAGCCAACAAAAATACGAATGACAATCTTTTCTTGTGACACAAATTCTACTTTACATTGTAAGGTGATCCGTAATTTCTTTAATAAAAACATTGAAAGTACAATGTAGAGTAGAATTTGTCAGAAGAGTAGGATTTTCTTTTCGTATTTTCATTGGTCGTTCGGAATCCTACTTGTCCTTTCTCTTACTCTTTTACAAATTTTCTCTAGAATCTTACTTCATCTTGTTTTTTTAAATTTTTAATGTCCGTGTCTCTACAATGAGTTTGCCATTGCTATATACTTCCTACTGGTTGGACTTTGTTTACAGCATATGACTCTTCTACAACTTGAACAAAGTCATCCAATGAGTCCACTTCTGCTTTACGAAATTTTTCCTTTAAAGTCGGAAGCACCAGTCTGGAGAAACATTTGTGTATCTAAGTGGCGGAAAGGATAGTGCAATGGACTCATTAAGTCCTGTCATGACTCTCCTTAAAAGGTACTAAAATAAATAATTTTAAAATGTTACATTATTGTGCAATCATTGTACTTATTTCAATTTCTGTATTATTTCATTTTGCCCTCTGTATTTGTCAGAATTCAAATGGGTATGGACTGACTTAAGGCT